GTAGGACAGTATATTTCCACCAGCAGAAAATATGCGCTCTGTTATAGATGTTGAGAAATCTTAACTAAATCATTTAAAAAATTTAAATATGGAAACAAAAATTTAAATTTTTGTTTGCTTGTTTAAATTATATTATTTATTTAATTAAATTATGTATTTATTAACAAAAAGTTAAATTTCGAAAATAATTCAAAATCTGAAAATACCGATATTTCTAAAGCCTTATTTTAAATTCAATGAGAAAATCCGCGCTAAATAAATTTTTCAATTAATTAACGTGAATAGTGAGTTCGAACGTTGTTTACCTTTCGTTTAGTTTTCGTTTAAAAAAAGTAAAATTTTTATTCAAAATTGTAAAGTATGCAGAGAGGATTCTGCGATCCTATTCGAACGTGTGTGCGATTGAACTCAGCTAATTTTATTTACCTATAAGAGCTTTTTTATTTTATCCAAAACTATTATTTTTTTATTTTAACTTTGAGTTTTCATAAATTTTTAAATACAGTTTTTAACGGTTTGGGGGGAATGTTTCTCCACATACACACAATGAAAATCAAATTTAACTCATAAACATTAATTATAAGAATATACCCAGCTGAAAAAATCCAGTTCTACAAACCTTGTTTGTAGAACTGGATTTTTGAAGACATTTTTATTAGACATTTTGTAACTTTTGAAAAATAACCCCTCTCTCGTAATAATTTAAAAGCACTCCTGTTTGTAGAGCATGTGTTTCGCTTTAATTTAAAGCAATATTTTATTGGTGAAATATTGTATAACTAAGATAAGATTTTATTGGTGAAATATTGTATAACTAAGATAAGCATTTTTACTAATTGTTATATTTCATGATTTTATTTCATGCCAATCCCAGTATCTGACAAAACGACGTTTATACTTTTAAAAAATCGAATTACGTAGCAAAATTTGAAATGAATGAGAAAAAAAACTGCATTGGCATCATTTTTAAGTTTGCAAAAACGCTTTTTGGCATTCAAAATTTGCAATATATTAACGTATGGGCTGTCATCTAAATCGAAATCCATACGATCACGTATATACAAACCTGTTATATATCGTTAATATCTTCAAGTTTCGCTAATTATTTTTAATTATTTTTTTTGAATTGGTAAAATACTTTTTTAAAACTGAATCTAAGGAAAAAAAAATTAAAAAAAAAACATTTATGGTGATAACTACCATTATAATATTAGTTATTATTATTATTATTGTTTTTTTCATTGCAAATATTGTAAGCATACTTTTTTATTACTATAATTTGTATTATTTTTTTTTTTTTTATCTTATATTAGTATAATATATTATTATTGCTATTATTTTTGCTATTATTATTATTACTATTACGGTGCAATACCATGATTTATTTTACTTACACTATTTTAATTAAAAAAAAAAAGACAGGATTTTAAGGAGTCTGGAGTTAAATTTTTTAAAATTTAAACAAAATTAAAGCGTTTTTCGACGTCAACGATACCTGTACACCGCCCGTTTTTTTTAAGTTTGAACTCAAATATTTAAAACCGTAGTAATTAAGTTATAAAAATAGAATTGAAAATAATATATAGATTGTTCTTGTAGCATTAGTTATATGATAAATAAAGATTATTAGCATATATTTTTTTGGTTATATTGATAAATATAATTTATTTTCAACGCTTTTACTTAATCGGCTTTCTGAAACATGCTTAAACTTTGTTTAAAGTGTTATTTTGAAACGTTTAAAAGTCCGTTTAAAGTGGACTTATTTACGTTTAAAACGTCACTTAAAATGGACTTACTTAAATTGTTTAAAATGTTGCTTAAAGTGAGCTTATTAAAAACATTTAAAACTGGATTTATTTACATTGAAACGCTTAAAACCTCGCTTGGAATGGACTTACTTAATTTGTTTGAAACTTAAATTAAAGTGAGCTTATTTAAAACATTTGAAACTTCGCTTAAAGTGGATTTATTTAAAATATGTTTGAAATTTCGCTTTAAATGGATTTATACAAAACATGTTGAAAAGTTTGCTTTAAATGGACTTTAAATTAAGTGTAATAATAATGTGTAAGGGTTGCTTTAAATTTAGTTTTACAAATTATTTTATTGCTTTCTTACAGATAAACAAATTTAACTTTACCTTGGTTAATAAATTCTTTTAATTTAACTTATAATATATTTTTTTTTTTTGAACAAAATCTATGCGTTAGCGACCTCATTAATTGCATTTTTTATGTTATATCTGTAGAAAGAAAGATTTAACATTTCATTTAAGTTTGGTTAGTATAAGGTGTATGATGTCTTATAGAACTTAAAAACTCGATTAAATATTGTAAAGATTTATACACAAAACCTAGTCTCAAAATGTAGATCCACTTTAAGTGTTTTTTTGTACAGTGACGAAATATACATGGTCAAAATAACAAACACTTAAACTCAAAATTATGCTTTTAAAACAAAACTTCCTATCCGCAAACCTTTATAGAAGCAATAGTCCGATTAGAAAAACTTGCTATTAACTTTTCAACAGCTATAACTTAGTCTAAAAACTAATCAAAAACGTAAAGTGGACTCAAAAAAGTCCACTTTAAGTACAAGTCCACTTTAAGTTAAGTTTTTACCAATGAAAAGGCCACTTTAAGTCGATCTAACAAAATATATATATATATATATATATGTATATATATATATATATATATATATATATATATATATATATATATATATATATATATATATATATATATATATATATACAGAGCCGTCCTTAGGGTGGCACGAGTGGGGCAGCCGCTCCAGGCCTCGCGGTTAGGAAGGCCTTGCGCAGCAAGGCCATCCTAAAAACGAGAAATCAAAACTTTTACTAATTGTCAACGAGAGTAAGGCTTCGCGCAGCAACGCCTTACTCTTGTTAAAAAATAAAAGGCGTTACTGTCGTTAAAAAATAAGAAAATGTTTTGGTTTAATGAAAATAATATAACAATAATATACATGTTAAATACATCTAATAATAATATCAAAAAATGCAAATCATTGTTCGAAGCTATTGAAGCTCTTCTGTTTAATGGCAATAAAATACTTTTTAAAGAGTGAAAGCGTTAAAAAAAAAAAATAGATCAGGCGAAAATTTAATTTTGTTTTTCAAAACTAAAAAACAAGTAAAAACAAAATAACTAAAAAGAAGAAACGGTAACGAATTAAATGAAAGAATTTTAAATAAAACTCAAAAGCAACGTAAGTAAAATAAAACTAATAAAAAAAGGTAAATAAAAAAAGGTAAAACATGTATAGGCTGCATACTGGATCTTAGTCAGATGGAGCAGTCATCATACAAATGCAACTTCTCTTAAGAGAAGTTGCATTCGTATTAGTTTTTATTAATTGGATTGCAAATTATGGATTGAAGGGGAAAATAGTATAACAATGGTTCCAATATAAAAAGTATCCACTCTTGAGTACAGGAACGGGTCTTAGAAATAAACCCAAAAGTATTTTACATACCATGCGCTAACCATAGCATCAACTTCCTAATATGGCGCGGAGCAAAATGGTTATCTTAATCTATGACAATTTTCGGTATTGTGCAAAGAATTTATTTGCTTTTTTCTTTGTCAAAAATGCAACAGCAAATTTTATTCAAACTTACTAAATCTGACTGTAAAAATGTCCTGTGACTAAATCTGACTGTAAAAATGTCCTGTGACTAAATCTGACTGTAAAAATATCCTGTGACACTTGTTGGAAAAGTAAACTGGAGAGCTTAAAAGCGCTTCGATATCAAATTAAGGAAGTTCATACTGCATTAGTTGAACTAGTTGAGTTCACTGAGGATCCAAAAAAAAAGCCAATAGTGAAACACCATCAGTTATGACTGAAATAAGTTATGAAAAAAAAGCTTACAAGACTCAAAAATGCACCTTGGAGTTGCGTTGCAAGTACTTTAAAAGCTAATTCAGTTTTTTTCAGAAATTTAGATTTAGGTTTTGTGGCGGCAACATTGTTAGCAAGAAAACTTAGTAAAACGCTTGGTTAAAGCGAAATTTCAAAGAAGCCAAGCAGAGAAAGTAAAAAAATATATATTTGAGTACGAGGGAGATCCTATGGATATCATATTGAGTACGAGGGAGATCCGCCTAACAAATGCTTAAAGTGGAGTATTTTTTTGTTATTGCAGAAGGTTTGAACAAATAACTAATTACGAAACTATGTTTGGATTTTTGTATCATGTAAAAAATCTAAACTAAAAGAAGTAATAGAATATAAATTTCAAAGATGTAAAGACCTAGAATTGATCCTAAGCTTGGAAGAAGAAAAGAATGTTTGCGGAAATGACTTTTTTTTTGAATTTAAGGTTCTTCGAGAACTTCTACTGGCTGAGATGGAAACAGTTGGAAGGATTTCGAGATTTATTCACCAGATTCAAAACCCATTTCCAAATGCATTTATAACGTATAGAATTTTACTGACTGTAAGAATGTGCTCCGAGATGGAGATCTTAATTAAAACTATATTCACGTTATTGTAACTTTATAAAGGCATTATATAGAAAATAAGCGATAAGAAATGTTGTAGTTTATCATTAAATTGGCGACGAAGATAGAAGAAAAGAAATTTAAAATAAAAAAAAAAAAAAATTAACGAAGATATTAGTAAAAAGCGTATTTATCCATGGCTATAAAAAACCTTAATTTACCAAACTTTCCACCGTTTTCATGTACTGAAGAAGCAAGTAAGTTATTTTCAAGCTGGAAACGATACATTAAGCGATTTGAGCTACTTTGCGATTCACTTGTAATTACAGACGATAAACAAAAACTTTCGTTACTTCTAACTTTAATTGGAGATAACACTTACGAAATTTATGAAAACATTATACCTCAAGATACGCTAATCACATACCAACAAGCTTCAACAAGCTTCGACAAGCTGTCGAAGCTTTTAACGAACATTTCAAGCCCCAAGTAAACCTGAGCTATGAAATCTTTATTTTTCGCAAGATGGCTCAACGTACAGACGAAACTACTCAGCAGTTTTTTGTTCGAATAAACAAACAAGCTATCAAATGTAAGTGTGCTGATAAGGATAAAGAAATTAAACAACAAATTGTGCTTTGCACAAATATTTCAAAACTACGGAAATACAGTTTCCAAAATCCTAACAAAACTCTACAGGACTTGTTAACTACTGCCAAAACATTTGAGCTGATGGACCATCAAATAGAAGAACTTGAGAAAGAAACGATAAAACAAAAAGTAAATACAGTAAAGAAAACAAAATTTCTACAAACCAGTCAAGCGCCACATGAGACAGAAACTAAGTTGCTAAAAAGAACTTGCTACCGATGTGGAAACGAATTTCCACACACGAATAAATGTTTAGCTTTGGGGAAATCTTGCCACTCCTGCGAGAAAATCGGACATTTTGCAACAGTCTGTAAAACTAGAAAACAAAACGAACAGAATACAAGAATACATCAAGAGAAATACAAAAGAAATAAACAAGGTTATACAAAACCATTAAGTACAATTTACAAAGATATCAATGAATCCGAAAATCCTCAGTCAAAATTAAACGAAGGAGAATTGTACTCTGTCAATGCTAAACAGATATCTAACGACGGACTTGAGAACTTCGAGGTAACGATTAACATAGAAAATATACCAATAACCGTTCTAACAGACACCGAAACTTCGATAAACATTCTAAACTTTAAAACATTTGAAAAAATAAACAACTTCCTTAAAAGACCACTTCGACTACAAAAATCTAAAACAAACCACAAAAATCTGTTATCTGGAAATGACGCTAAGTTACTCGGTTTAATACAACTAAATACTGACGTCAATAAGAAACTATTAAACAAAGGCCAATGAGAACAAAATAACCATGACGACAGTAAACAGCAAGTTTGTTATTCTTTGCAGAACTTAAGCAAATTAAACAATACTCTCCTTCTAAACGCTTCAAAACGATTAGAACCGCTTATAAACTCATACAAAAATTCTGTTTTTAGCGGTAAAATAGAAAAACTCTCCAACTACCAAGTAAAATTGAAAATTATTGAAAGTATACTACCAGTCGCACAAAGAGAAAGAAGAATTCCTTTTGCACTTAGAGAAAAGGTTAAAGTTGAACTATCAAAACTTGAAGCAGAAGGAATAATTGAAACGGTAACAGACAAAGCGACACCCTGGATAAGTCCAATGGTAATTGTGCCAAAAAATGACGGCAACCTAAGAATTTGCGTAGACATGCGAGCAGCTAACAAAGCTATTGGAAGAACGCATTTTCCAACTTCAACCCTGGACGATGTTATTATAAAACTAAAAGACTCAGCCGTTTTCTCGAAACAAGATTTAATGAAAGCATTTCACCAGCTTGAACTTGCACCGGAATCCAGATCAGTAACTACTTTTCAATCCGAAACTCAAATTAAACGTTTTAAAAGATTTAATTTTGGAGTAAACTCCGCGCAGGAGGAACTACAAAACGCTTTACGAGAAGTTTTAAAAGATATAGAAGGTACTTTGAACATTGCCGACAATGTTTTAATTTTCGCTTCGAATACAAAAGAGCACGATTTAATATTACATTAAGTATTAGAAAGATTTAAACAGAGAGGTTTTACTCTAAATTTTGAAAAATGCTTATTTGGAAAAGAAAAAGTCAAATTTTATGGATTTATATTTTCAAAAGAAGGAATGCGACCAGATCCGGAAAAACTTTATAATATCAAGAACATGCCAACACCAGAAAACACTAAAGCTCTCTAAAGTTTTCTCAGGCTTATGAACTATTTTAAACGTTTCATTCTACACTACAGTACAATTATTTATCCACTGAGAAACCTCCTGCATAAAGATTCCTTATGGAACTGGAACCTTGCGTGTCAGCATGCATTTGACAAACTAAAAAACGCTATGACATTGGACTCATGTGTCGGATACTTCGATCCCAACAAAGAGACTACTGTCTTCACCGATGCAAGTCTTGTAGGCATATTGGCAGTCATTGTTTAAAACACTCCAAATAAACAAGATTTTAAACTAATATCTTATAATTCGAAAGCGCTATCACCTGTACATCAACGCTACTCTACGCTCGAAAGAGAATGTTTAGTTATAGTATACGCTTGCGAGCATAACAAAACATACCTGTTTGGACACCCTTTTAAAATATACAGCGACCATGAAGCTATTGTAAAGATTTTAAACAACCCAAACGCTACAGTACCACTTCGCATTGAGCGTATGACTTTACGATTACAGAGATATTCTTTTGATCTACACTACGTAAAAGGAAAAAATAATATATCTGATTATTCTAGTCGACACCCTGTAGACCCTTGTGAGGACGAAAAGTGTCAATTTTACAGCTGAATACACATGTCCTAAAGCCCTTTCACTACTGGATATTAAAAGAGAAACTAAAGCCGATCCTATTCTACAAATACTTACAGAGTTAATTACTACTAATACCTGGCACAAACTATTACATCCGAATTGTCTGCCAGAACTAAAAAAATTTCAAAAAGACTTTCTTGCTTACCGTAATATACGCCAAGAACTTACAGTAAATCAGACTTCAGACCTTATTCTAAAAGCAAATCGAATTGTACTTACACATTCTCTGGAAATTACGGTTATGCAGCTTGCTCATAATAGTCACATGGGACTTGAGAAAACCAAATTATTACTTAGAGAAAAAGTTTACTTTCCTGGTCTAGACACTAAAGTAGAAGAATATATAAAACGATGTGCAATTTGTCAAGCCCTTGGTAAACAAAATGCACCAGCCGAACTATTAATGACACCAACACCAGAGGAAGTTTGGGACACCGTTAATATAGATTACCTTGGTCCTTTACCTAATGGATTTTATTTGGTAGTCCTTATAGACCAAGCATCAAAATTTCCGGTTGTCGATATTATACATAATACATCTGCTGACCTCCTTTTTGCTGTCCTCCTTGTAACTTTATGAAGGCATGATATAGAAAATAAGCGATAAGAAATGTTGTAGTTTATCATTAAAACAGCGTAAACTTATTGCTGCAATTTTTATTGTTGACAACGAAAAAAAAGTAGCGCGAAAGAAAGTAAGTGGAAATCAAAACAGCGTTTCGTCATAGCGAAAAAATTTGCTTCGCGCGAATATTTCGTCTTGTGGGAAACGGCCTTTAAGAACCCGTAGGTTCTATAAAGAACCTTAAATTTTCTCCAAGAACCTTTAGGTTCTTTAAAGAACCGGCAAACAACCGCGAAGAACCTTTTGGATTTACAGTGTACTTAGCCGAGGATATGAAAAAAGTCAAACTATTTCATTTTTCAAAACGTTATTGGTTACAAAGAACAAACAAGCATTACCTTTTATCCAGAAACAGCCGATGATTATTTTTAGCCAATATATTTTAAAGCTTTTAACGCAATTATTAATGCAATAGAAGATCGATTCGAACAACCAGCATTCAAGCAATATATGAACGTTTAAAAACTATTTTTTAAACCTATTAATAAGACGGATCTATCAAAAGAGCTTAAGGTTTAAGGATCTAATTTCTATGGAGATTTTAATCGGAACCAAATGAAAAGCTTCATCTCATTCCGACTATTTTTTAAAACTTTTTATGCAAATTAATTTTTGAAATATATGCATAAAATATGCATGAATATGGGTAAAGAAAATCGCCTAATGATTCAGAATATTTGGATCATTATCCAAATCGTGTTAATAAGTGGGTCTACATTGGCTATACCAGATTATTCTTTTCCAATCTACAGGAATATATCAAAACGTGACTCAAATCAACAATCGCTCAAAAAAGATATAAATCCTTGTCAGTGCTAAATACGCACGTTGATATTGTCGATAGTCTATCTTTAATAGAAGTAGCCTAGCAATTTTCTACTAAGTGCAGGAGTGAGTTCGGAATATTTACTATAAAAGACCTTCAAAAGATTTTGTTATCAATTTTTATGCAATTTTTTATGCAATTTTTTTAGTATTTGAAGAAAGTTTTTGAACAAAATTTTCATTTACAAAATTGGGGCAACAAAGGTATTTTGAAACTTTAAACAATTTTTAAAATCAGGTAGTGTTCCGGATAAATTAAAAATTGCCCGAATCACACCAATTTTTAAGAGCGGAGATGACTCCAACTTTTTAAACTACAGACCGATTTCAATCTTGTCTTGTTTCTCAAAGATACTTGAGCACATAATGCACAACAGACTCTATGATTATCTGACAAAAAACGATATGTTGCATAAAAACAGTTCGGGTTCAAAAAAAAGCATTAGACCAAACACGCAGCAGTCGAGCTTACACACGAGATATCGGACGCTCTAAATAACCATTATTTTACATTAGGAGTTTTCATTGATCTGTCCGAAGCCTTCGATACAATAATCATGATATACTGCTAAGTAAACTTGAACACTATGCCATTAGAAATAAAAATTTACTTTGGTTTAAAGACTATTTAACAAAAAGAAAATAATTCACATGCTACGATTCAAAAGAAACAGTTAAACACTTAATAACTTGTGGGGTTCCAAAAGGCTCTATTCTAGGGTCATTGTTGTTTTTACTGTCATAAATGATGTTTTTTTATCATCAAATCTTATAAACTTTATTTTATTTGCAGATAACTTTAATCTCTTTTATTCACATAAAGATATTAAAATACTTTTTAAACATGTTAATGAACAATTAGATAAAGTTAATGAGTGGTTTGTAAGTAACAAACTTTCTCTAAATGCTGATAAAACTAATTTATTTTGTTTCAAAAATTGAATAAAACTGAAACGTCCCATTAAAATTACCAAAGCTTAATATAAATAAAGCTATAATTAAAAGAGAACCATCGGTAAATTTTTTAGGCGTTGAATTGGACGAAAATTTAAGTTGGAATTTTCATATAAACAATCTTGAAAAAAAAATTTCTAGAAATATAGGAATAATTTATAGAGCTTAAATTTTTTAATTTTAAATCTTTAAAAAGTTTATACTTTACTTTTATCCAAAGTTACCTAACATACTGTAATATCGCCTGGGCAAGTACCAATCATACAGAATAAAAAAAGCTTTATAGTAAACAAAAATATTCATGTCGAATTATATTTGGAGCAAATAGAGAAGAAACCCTGCGAGCCTTTATTGTGATTACTTGGAGCTTTAAATATTTATAAAATAAATTTACATGAAATTTTAGTTTTTATGTATAGAACTAAGCTAGGAATGTTGCCAAAAATATTTGAATCTTATTTTAGTGAAATCTTCCATAAATATAGCACAAGATGCTAAGTTAACTACTTTGCTGTCCCAAAATAAAGTTTAAAATTGAGCTCATATTCAATTAATTATCGTGGACCATATTTATGGAATTTATTTTCAATTATTACAAATAAAAAAAAAAAAAACACTCTTGATCGATTTAAAAAAGAATCCAAACGTTTTTTCTCATTTATGGATCTCACTATGCTAGATTTTAAATGTTTTTTTTTTTAAATAAACTATAGCTTTTATAAAAAATCAAGATAACTTAAAAAAAAAATTCTTTGAAAAGAATGTTATTATCACAATCCACCATAACAAAGTTTATGAATGATATTACTCTCTTAATTTAAGTGTATAAATCTCTTTTTTTTCATCTTTTTTATTTTATTTTATTACAAGCATATAATCTTTTTTTTTTTTGCAAATGCAGCTGCCTTCTTTTTCTTTTTGCAACTGCAGATAATATAAACATTTTAGTTATTATTAATTACTGCTTTGTATATTTATGCCAATATAATATAATATTTATAAATCCCGATTTTATAAAAATGGGGCTCGGTAATAAGACAGAATTATGTCTACTTCTTGCTCCAGCCATTACTTATTTTGTTTTATATATATGAAAATTATACTTATTGTAGAAGGCAAATTAAACATATTTAAAAAAAGAGAACTCTCAAAAACATTTGAATTCAAGATAAATATTTCACTTTAGTACCTCCCCTCCCCAGTTTTATTGAACGCCGTGGCCCATGGTTAATGAGAACATTACCGTTCATATCATCAATCAATCAATCAATCAATATATATTTCTGAAATAGATACATTTCAAGGTTGTTTACAAATAGTAAATATACTAATATTAAGTAAACACCTAATGAAAATGATTAAAATAATAATGGTTTAAATAATAAAAATAATATTAATAATAATGATAACAATAATAATAATTATATATAAGTCACTTGTCTTTATAAATACAATAGCTACATAAACAAAGTTAGACAGTTACAAACAGTTACAACTGATAAAACGTAAAAGTAAACAATGACATATAGCAACTATTATAATGAAAAACAAGGAAAAATAATTAATGAAAATAAGAATAACGAATATTAAAATAGAAATAATCATAATATAGTTTAAAAAAAAAAAAAAAAAAACATACATAAACAGATCAAATTTACAAAAACAGCTACAGTAACAGCAAACAATACAAACACAATAGCAACAACAACACAAGTTTTCACAAACATACTACAAACAAAACGGCAAACTTAAACCGACAAAAAAAAGATTAACAAATAAATAAATTAGGAAATCTACCTGAAACCTGGAAATATAAAAATAAGTTATAGTAAAATTAAAAAAAAAAAATTCTTTGCTTTCAAGCAAGCCATTATTATATTTTTTTATTATTTTCTTTTTTCGAATGATTGTTTCTTTCTCTGAATGTTTTTCGATTCGTTATTGTTTTACTTTTTCTATTTTTATTGTGGTTAAATTGTATTTGCAATTTTTTCTTTTCATTTTTACATATATTTTTTTCTACGTTTTTTCTTTTAATCTTGTACTTTGTTTACATTTCTTTTCTTTTTTTCTTTCTCTATGCTCTTTACTTTCTCTTTAATATTAACAAACTTTAATTAAAAACTCTTTTTTTTTTTTTTTTTTTTCCGTTATTGAAAGGCGACCGCCATTCCGGAAACCACTCAACTAATTTATTTAACTTTAGCATTTTGAAACCAGTGACCAACTTGGTTGTTTTTAAGCATTTTAAAAAATTTCTCAAAAAGATTATTCAAAAGGAGACAAAGCTGAAAATTATTAAATCTGTTTTATTTGTGATCAACAATTATATAATTCATATAACTTGATTAGTATTTTCAATAGCATTAAGATTAGATAGCAAACATTAATTTCTAACCCAAACATATTAAAATAAAGTTGTTCATTAAGAGTAGTGAAAAAATTAAAATAAATCAACATGGAGTTGTAGAATTTTATGAAACTAACCAAAAAAATTTTGTTATTTTGTTTATCTATCTTTGCTTATTAACTACTGCGTATGCTAAAATTTGCAGAAAAAGTGTAAACATATGCAACTATACTACTGGTTGTGTTATTGATGGGATATTAACTTGTTGGAACTAAAATTTAATACAAGTAAATAAATACACATGTAAATATTTCTTACTTTAAGTAATTTTATATATGAGTAACATTAGACATTTTTTATATAAAATTTAGATGAGCAATACTGCCTTAACTTTAGACTTGTAAACATCTCTCTCTCTCTCTCTCTCTCTCTCTCTCTCTCTCTCTCTGTCACACACACACACACACACACACACACACACACACACACACACACACACACACACACACACACACACACACAACTTAAAACAGTAATCTTATAAATGAGTATTAGTAATTTGTTATATTATATAGTAAACTATTTCCCTAACACTAAAAGATAAGACTTCTCAAAATTTAATAAAAGATTTTCATGCGTGAATAATAAATCGGATGTAATAGATTATGAACTAATATCGAATTGTTTATTTTTTGAACTTTAATTATAAACTAATGTGTTTAATTCATTTATTCATGCAGAAAATAACTTTATCATGTTTTTTCGGTACGATAAAGTAAACAAATGTGTTGGTAAACTGAGATATATAATCGAGTGTCATAAAATATCACGTCAAACAGAGACTTGATGTACGCCTCCTTCGAGTGAAATACATTCATTTAAATTAATCTATTTCTCCATAAGTTCTCATAGTAAAGAGTCTTAACTTACAACAAATATCGTTTGATGTTGTTTAAACAATGTAAGTCATTCTTTTTTTAGTTATCTAAATAAAATAAAAGTAGATTTATTCAAAACTTTGTTTAACAATTTTATTACGTTTTAAAAAACTTACATATAAAAAAAATTATTCTAAAATGATTGTGGACTCTATAAACCTAATTTTAAAACTAACGAGTAAGATAAGTTTGGTTAATGCTAATCAAAATCATTTTAGGCCTGCTAGCCCATAAACTAATTTTTGGTCAGATAAACCAAATCATTGTGTATTACACAAAAACCATACATTTCATCCCAGTTGGCACGGGACGTATCAAAGACGTCTTTTGAACGTTTTTAACGTTTTATTAACGTTTTTTGAACGTTTTGGACGTCTTTTGATTGTTTAAAAGACATCTTTTTCAGGTTCCGTGAATTTTTTTATATGCTTGTGTTACATGTATTTAAACTAACTACCTAAATACAAACAAACTTCTCTTCTTAAAAAATTAAAATCAAAGATGAGTCTATATTCTTTATTTTCCTAGTAAACAACGAGAATTTTTTTGCTGTTTTAAACGTCTTTTTGGCATTTTTTGGTAGGAAAAGACATGGTAAGATGGCAAACGTTTTGAAAATTTTTCAATAGAAAACTGTCAGTCATAAAGTAATACTACTTTGTCAATAAGTTTTTTTTATTATTATGATTATTTTCCTGTATGAATTTTCTGTTTGCAAGTAGGAAAATCTGTTATAAAAATTAAAATGTAAAATTCATTATTATATGCTTACGTGACCGGGTTGTTAAGCGTTTCTGTCTCTAATTTTATAAAAGTTTAAAAAGTATCTACTACTCTAACTAAAGTAACTCAAAATAATCACGCGTCACAATATTTAAAAAAAAACAATCAGTTTTTTAAAATACAAGATATAAATACACAGTCTTTTCTATCCATTTTTAATTTTTTTTTCGAGAAAAGTCATCTTACCCTGTTTTTCCCTAATAGGAAATATGCCTTGATTACTATTCTTTTTTTTTTTTTTCGCTGATATTAAAAAAAATAACATTCTTGTTATAAATGTAAACTATTGTTTATAAAAGACATTAAGAGGTTTTACAAAAATATTATTGTAGCATTCATGAGATCCTTGTCTTCTTTGAGTAGTATACGAAGTTTTTAAAGAATATTTTTTAACTTTAAATTTTTTTTAAGTTTTTTATAAAAATCACTTGAATATTTCGAAATTAAGTCTTTGCTTCACTGAACAACTTATAAAATCGTTATGATTTTTATGGTTTATAACAAAGTAGGAGTACTGTGTTTTTATTTACTTGTGTGATCAACAAAGTCTGTAATAATGATGACAAAAAATGCCACTTTAAAAGTGCTTTTGTTGACTATATTATTTTTTTGTAATTAAATTACTTGTAAAATAATACTACATGTAATTTAAGATTACAATTTGACGTTAGTTAATTGCAATATAAATAAAGTAATACTACTAGTATTACTTTATTTTAATATACAACTTTTTAAGTTTTTTTTTTCACCTTTCATTTCAGTTTTACTGAAAACCTGATTACGACATCCCACTCCCTCATAATTAAAAAAACTAAAATACATTCCATCTAAAATTGTCTAATAAAAAGTTGAAAAAATATAGCAAAAACATTGGCTAAAAAATATAATCTTTTTTGTACTAAAAAGTAGAAAATTTAAATATTAAGTTTAGATTTAATAGTTCAGAAAACTAAAGATTGACATGTATGTTTCTATATATAAATCTTGTGCAGGCCTGTCAATCTTTAGTTTACTGAACTATTAAATTTAAATTAAAAAATTTATTTAATTTCTACTTTTTAGTAGAAAAAAGATTATATTTTTTAGCCAATGTTTTTGATATATTTTATTTTCTACCTTTTAGTCTTTACAGAGAGTTACGATATTTAGAAATGCGTTTGTCAACCCATTTGTAATTAAATCGAGCTTTTTATCATTATTAAAGAAACGGAGTATTTCCTAATTAAAGGAACGAATTATCTTTTTTTAAGGATAAAATTTTTTTATATAAAAGTAAAACAACATATAATACAAACATTTCATTTGCATTGTTACCCTCGTCCTCCCACGTATGTAGCATATTTTTATTTTAATATTAAACCAAATTATGTTGTAAGTTATTTTTGCAACTTTATTTAAAAAAAAAAATTTCAAAAAAAAAGAATTGAATCCAGTTGGGTTACAGTTGCAAACAAAAACAAAGAAAAACTTCTTGAACAGCTAACAGTTATAAACACATTCTCCATTGAGCAGCAACAAAAAAAAAAAAAGCGAGAAAAAATGTAATTATTTCTGATATTAAATAATCTACTAAGTTATCAGATGCAGAAAAGCAAATCAACGATACGAAAACGGTTCAGAACATATTAACTACCATCGCATCTGATGCAAAACCAAAGTTTGTAAAACGTATAAAATGTCCTCTAAACCAGGACCAATTATCGTTGAACTGTCAGATGTTTCTCAAAGAAACCCAGACAATTACAAAAATGTCTTTATAAGCCCAGATCTGACTGAGGTTGATTGATATCTAAACAACCAACTGAGAATGAAACGTAATGAATTAAATAGTAATATAAATCTAAAAACATCGCCCTTTAAATACGGTATACAAAACAGCGAAGTTGTTAAGCTCAAAAATCTCCAAACCACTGCCTAAGAACCACTATCCTCCCTTGACTCTCCTAACAACGAAAATAAAATACAAGGGTAAAGACATACATAACCTGGAAACAAACTATAGTGTTAATTGTTACTACTCGAATGCAACATCCCTTGATGACAAAATGGACGATTTAATTGCAATAGCTTGAACGTTTGACTATCATGTTATTGCTGTCTCAGAAACATGGTTTCGAAATGACTCAGATCTTAAAATAGATGGTTATAATTTATATCGCAAAGATTGCTGCGACGGACGTTGAGGTGGCGGTATAGCTATCTACATTACTGACTTATATAACTCTCAATAAGTTAATCAGTTCTATACAAATTCACTTGAACAAGTTTGGATATCAGTACAAATTAATAATAAACGCATACCTATTCGGTGTATATATAGACCAAATGATACTAATCTGAAAATTTATGTCGCTGAATATTTCAAATTAGCTCATAGCTTAATTGGGAAGCCCTATGATGACTGTTTGATCGTTGGTGATTTTAGTTTCCCGAATATGAAGTCGTCTAATAATGGTATTAAATCTTTCAATCCAAACCATTCTAACAAGAATTTTGGAAAATTTACCAAAACACTTTACACAACACATCACGTTCCCTACATTCCAGACATCCTATGGTTCCCCAAAAAATATGTTGGACTTATTATTTACCTATAACAATAATTCTATTTTAAATTTGTCTCCTAATGCTACACTAGGTAATAACACTAAGGGTCACTTTAGTATTACCTGGAAAATCTTAGTTTCAGAACCGCTACCCGAAAACAAATCTCAATTGTTTAGTTACAACAAAGCTGATTATTATTCAATATCAAACATTATTGCATCAATCAATTGGAATATTATATTTCTACAAAAATGTGGATCAAATGTTCAATATATTAATTTCTTATTATCGTACTGCTTGCAAATTTTTTATCCCCCAAGATTTAAAAAAAAAAAAAAAGTATGATCCTTAGGTTACTAAGGATCACATCAACTGCTGAACTAAATGGAAGAATAAAGATCTCAAAACAAATTACAATCGTCTTAATCGTTTCGCTAAAGCGGAAATATTTTAAGCAAAAATGTTACATGAAAAAGAAATAATATCAAAATCTCAGAACAACCCAAAACTCGTCTAAAAATACATTAACAACCAACTAAAAATTAAAGATAAAATTCGTTCTCTCAAAAATACTTCAGGTGAAATTACTGAAACTCTTCCCGATATACTTAAACTTCTGAACTCTCAATTCAAATCTATGTTTACTATTGAAAGCCCCCAAAATTTTCCATTGTTAGATAAAAGTGAAGCTAAACCTAAATGCAATTATAATAAAAACTTGGATTTTTCCATTGCAGACATTATTAATGAACTTACCAATCTAAATCCTTACAAATCTTTTGAACCTGACGGGTTGCACCCTTTAATACTTAAGATATGTGCCAAAAGCTTCGCAATTCCGCTTACAAAAATCTTCTATGAATCTTTTAATTCTAGAATAGTACCTGCTCTCTGGAAATTAGCAAATATTACTCCGATCTATAAAAAAAAGGAGACAAACTACTTCCTGAAAACTATCATCCTATTTCACTTAACCCTGTTGCGTGCAAAATATTTGAAAAAGTTGTAAAGAATAAAATCTTGAAGCACATCAATGATAACAATCTGCTCTCTACAAAACAACATGGCTTCCTTCATCATAAGTCTTGTGTAACCAATCTAATAGAGACTTTTGATCTCTAGCATTGCACCAGTTTATAGATGTAATCTACCTCGATTTTGCTAAAGCTTTTGATTCTGTACCACACACCAGACTCATTTTAAAATTAAAATCATTCGGAATAAACGGTAAACTATTACAATTGATTAATTTTTCTTAGTAGGCAGAAAGCAATGCGTTAGAAATAACAATACTAGCTCTGACTGGGTTGATGTTCTTAGTGGTGTTCCTCAAGGTTCTGTCTCGGCCCGCTCCTCTTTATTCTTTTTATAAACGATCTTGCCGAACTTACAGAAACTTCTGAAGTATTTGTAGACGATACTAAACTTTTTTCTAAAACTTTATCGCAGACTAATTTTGTTGATCTACAGAACCGTCTACGCTTAGTATACGAGTGGTCAAATACTTGGTTACTTAAATGAAACATTTCAAAATGCTGTGTTATCTATTATGGTAAAACCAATCCTATGTATAGCTACTTTTTTCAAAATAACAAAGATATAAATGAAAGCCTAAGAAGCTCTATTAAAGAGCGCGATTTAGGAGTCATTTTTACATCTAACCTCAAGTGGAGTACACATATTCAATCAGTTT